GGGGGGGGGTGAAAAGAATGTCTACACATATATAAATCAAAGTAAATGAATGTGTGAAAAAGTCCATTGTGCCTCCGGCCCACATTAATTTTTATTTCCGCACAGTAATCATTTCCTCTTTTTTGTACGTGAATGGAACGGAAGAAGTCGGGTAGAGGAAAGAGTACAAAGCCGGTGTAACAGGCATAGAAAAGGAGAGCCGGGAGAGTGGGATTTGGTGAAATGAATAGAACTGAGACCCTAGCTGGCATAGTTACCTGCTCAAAGCAGCTATAATTTATATTTAAAACAAAGACCTGTTGTAGTGGTCATGAAATCTTTAAGACGTTATTTATACCGTACGTGGAAATACTGTTTAAAGGAAAGTCACACGACAAGTTCATTCCAAAATGTGTATACGGCAACTACAGATATTTTTAGCAGATTCAATCGAACGTTTATTGGGTAGCTGAAAAAAGTGAGGTTTGGGGGGTCTTCCAAAATTGGGTTTCTGGCTGGAAATCTAGTCCAGCAAGCAATGTTTTTAGTTTTTTGTGAAATAAGGATTCCCTTTTTAAGAATAGCTCAAAACTATTGCGAATAGAATGAAGTATCAAAGTAAATCAGATCTCAGAAATCCAGCAAGCGTCGCCGGTTAATACGAGGTAGTATAACGTTGATATTGTAGGTTAAGAATTCATTTACAGGATTTTTAGAAAGCCGTTTTACAGGGTACGTACATTGTGCAACACAAGATGAGATATCACTGACACTGGGTGGTCATTCGAGAAATCAAAATGGTTCAACAGGCTTGCAGTCAGTGAAACCAGTAAAAAGATTAGATTGTAACAAGAAGTTAGATGTCATGGAATCTTATGATGACAAAATAACTTCATCGTCTTGGTATTTTCCCGCCTGTATAAATGTTATTTCCCGTCTTTGATTTAAGTTAGAGTCTGCAGTCTTAATGCTTTGGATTCAAATGCATATTTGATGTTCTCCTATCCTGAACTAACTTTAAGTATGTCAAGAGAAGTCGTAGGCCTACTTGTGTACAAAGATGTCCCAGCCCCGCTCTACCAGAAATATCAATAAAGCGAAACAAATCGAGAAAAGGCAGAACAAAGCACCCCCCACCCCCCGCCCCCTAAAAACAAAAACAAAGCAACAACAAAACAACAACAACAACAACAACAACAAACCCCTCCGCCCACCCAAAAAAACCCAAGAAACCCCCCCCCCCAAAAAAAAACCCACAAAAAAAAACAACAACAAATCCAAATACAAAAAACACACGAAATAAACAAAATAGCAATACATGGGAATAGTACATGTATATTTATAATATAGTCTGAGAGTTGGATTTTTTTTTACCCGTGTACAGAGCCATGAGCACTTCATTGCAAGCAGATTTGTCTGAACAAGAAGGTACAAACGCTCCTTTGAAGTTCTCCAACGTAAAACTGCTTTTAAACTTTCACATTGAAGTGTACCCGAGGCCTCCCTTACAATACGAGCTCTTTTGGTCGCACACCTTACCCGACGCTGTATATGTGAAACATGCTCCACCGACAGAGCACCGGATGGTCCGGAGAATATCTCCCACGAAGAAGGTTGAGAGAAAAAACAAAAACAACCTGAGATCTCAGTCGGATTCGAACCTGAGGCTTCCTACAGTTAGATCTAGTCTAGTTAGATTAGCCGTCCAATGGCCCTTTGCCTATAAAAATAAATTGAGACAAGCCTGAAAAAGCTGAAGGCCTAAATAAGTGACAGAACTGATGACGTAAACACTCCACAGACAAACACCCATAAAATTGCTGAGCTCTGTGTCCGATGTTATTTATTTAAATGCCTCCACTGAACTCAGTGGCGTAAGTGAGTAAAACAATCATAAACGCTGCTTTAGAAAAGCGAAAGAGGAAGTCAAATTCTCTCTTTTCCGAACTCCATTTTGATCCAAGGACCACAACTGTTGGAAATAGACTTTTCCGTTGTTCTCTGTGGTTGTCCTTTAAAGTAAGTACATGTATTATGTGGCTTCCAACAAACAAACAGACTCTAGGATGGATCCTGAAGAGAGGAAGGGGGGGGCAGAGATAGACATGTTCCGACTGTAGTGACCCCAACACTGTGGACAAGCTGTGACAAGGTGTGACAAGAAAAGAAAATCTCCTTGGCGATACATCTTGTTTATTCCAGTCAGACATCATGAGAGTTCTCCGGGTTTGCAAGTATACTTGAGCTATGCAGGGGATGGTGCGAAGGCACAGGGTTCTTGCACGTTGACTGGGCAGTCAACAACCAAGTCGTCTCTCTCTCTCTCTCTCTCTCTCTCTCTCT